CAGCCTGGGCAACAAGAGCGAAACTCCGTACTAAAAAAAAAAAAAAATTAGCCAGGCATGGTGGCAGGCACCTGTAATCCCAGCTACTTGGGAGGCTGAGGCAGGAGAATGGCTTGAACCCAGGAGGAAGAGGTGGCAGTGAGTCAAGATTGCACCATTGCATTCCAGCCTGGGTGACAAGAGCAAAACTCTGTCTCAAAAAAACAAAAAAGAGATGGGGTCTCAAATTTGTGGGCTCACATGATCCTCCCGCCTTGGCCTCTTAGAGTACTGGGATTATAGGCATGAGCCACTGTGCCTGGCCCTGTCTCTATTTATACAAATAAAAAGAAAAGTAAAAAAATAAAATACAGGTGTGAGCAACTGTGACCAGACCAGCCAGGCACGGTGGCTCTCCCCTGTAATCCAACACTTTGGGAGGCCAAGGCGGCAAATCACCTGAGGTCAGGAGATGGAGACCAGCCTGACCAACATGGCAAAACCCCATTTCTACTAAAAAAATACAAAAATTAGCTGGGCATGGTGGTAGGTGCCTGTAATCCCAACTACTCAGGAGGCTGAGGCAGGAGAATCACATGAATCCAGGAGGTGGAGGTTGCAGTGAGCCAAGATCATGCCATTGCACTCCAGCCTGGGCGACAGAGCGAGACTCCATCGAAAAATAAATAAATAAAACAAAATGTCTGGTGAGAGAAAGAACGGGTTTGGGGGTGACTCACACCTGTAATCCCAGCACTTTGGGAGGCTGAGGTGGCAGGATTGCTTCAGCCCTGAAGTAAGAGGGAGGTTACAGTGAGCTAAGATAGAGCCATTGCACTTCAACCTTGGCAAGAGAGGGAGACCCTGTCTCTAAAAAAAACTGAAGAAAAATAGAGAGAGAAAGACTGGTCTGGCCGAGAACTGGAGGGTTCTGGTTAAATCGCTCCGCCAAGACTACAGAGTTCTTTCTTCACTCTTATTGGTTTTGCAGGAGCCAAACAGCCAAATTTAAGGGGTTTCCTGGAGACTAAGCAGAAAGCAGCTAGTTCCTGGAATTGACAAACCCTGACATCTAGCAGTGATTGCTAAGATATACTAGGAGCTTACCCCATTTACTCATCACAGCAGCCTCAGAAAGGAGACATTCTTCACCATCCAGATGTGAGAACACAGAGGGAGTTGGGGAGCCCATGGCAGAGTTCTTCTTGGGAGCAACATGCAGAAATCTCTCAAAAAGACCCTCGAGGGTGAAGCTGCTTCTGGTTAGGTCTCCCTTGTGGCATGGAGCTGTCTGATTTCTCTGGTCACTTGGTTCAGGTCTGTCTCCCCTGCTGGGGCTGCTTGCCTTTTATCTACACTGTGGCACAGGGCTTGGCATCCTGCAAGCACTCAATAAACATTTTAAACTTTTGTTTATTTATTTATTTGAGATGGAGTTTCACTCTTGTTGCCCAGGCTGGAGTGCAATGGCACGATCTTGGCTCACTACAACCTCCACCTCCTGGGTTCAAGCAATTATTATCCTGCCTCAGCCTCCCGAGTAGCCGGTATTACAGGTGTGTGCCACCACACCCGGCTAATTTTTGTATTTTTAGTAGAGACGGGGTTTCACCATGTTGGCCAGGCTGGTCTTGAACTCCTGACCTCAGGTGATCTGCACACCTTGGCCTCCCAAAGTGTTGGGATTACAGGCATGAGCCACCACACCTGACCCACTTTGGATTTTGAAGGACACATGAGTAATGTATTGATATTATAGTATTTTAA